CTACACGACGCTCTACCGATCTCGTTTGGGCTCCAGAAATTTCGTCTTCGAGCTCATTTTCAAATCGCTTAAGTCACCAAATCCACTAAAAACTTGTATATAGAGGTAATTCAACATCCTGATCACGAATATGACATTCATTTTTGGCGCTGGCGCTAATGGATGACACTACGGTTACCTGCGCTCTGCTAAGGCTGAGCCCAGGAGGTAATCGTAGTGTCCTCTCTTGGCGCCAGCGCCAAGAATGAGTGTCATACTCGTAATCAGGATGTTGAATTACCCCTATATACAAGTTTTTAGTGGATTTGGTGACTTAGGCAATTTGAAAATGAGCTCGAAGACGAAATTTCTGGAGTCCAAACGGCATTAGCCGCAAGAGCACAGCTGGTGCAGACGACATTAATTGCACTGTTATAATATTTAGGTCCGACATCGTAACGGAGTCCGCCTACATGATAATCTACCGCGAGGGTGACAAACGTGAAACGTTGCAAGAGAAAGCACATATTAGTGAAATGGAATCACTGATTCGGGTTAGATTTATTCTTTTTTTATGAGGGCAGGCAGCACTGCCTGCTAAGACAGCGTTCAGAACTGGCGTCGACCGCTAGGCCGCTTTCCGTTGTAATAGCGCTCTAACGCTATAGACGAGATGCAGCCATAGACGGGTATTGATCGGCGCCGGTCGTCATTGTTTCGAGAGAGTATGAGAGAATAGGAGAGTACCAGACTGTGTACATACAACGCGATGACACCCGTCATTGCGAAGTCTGAACGTAGTCTGAGCAGCCAGTTCCAAAATAATCTTTGAATTGTTTTCTCTAGATTCACACCCGTCAAGCCATCATTCGTTATCCCATGGATGTTCGCTTACTCCCCTCCTTTGATGAGATTGCTTATATGTACTACGTGCATAATGAGGAAGGGCTCTCGCGTAAGGCACTGCTATTTTCGATTGATTATTAATTTAATTTTTGGTTTTTACCACCTGTCATATTTTCCTGTCATCCAAAAAAATTTTCATGTTTCCTCTGTCACTCACTAGTTTGAACTCTGCGTCTGAAACAATGGAAATTATAGATTTGCGTTCAGACACGCAACACGCGCACGCACGCGCACACACATACCGTATGCGCGCACGCAACACGCTGAACACGTGCACACGATTACAGACCTAATTAGCTGTTTATAAAGGGAAGGATTAATGTCTTCACTGCGAGTGACAGATTTTTTTTTCAGAAAATAAGTATTGGCTAGAAGAAGTAGGTAACGAACAACGTGGAAATATCATCGTAGCTTTGTATAGCGTTGCTGATCTTGAACGCGACTACGCCCCACTCACTCCAGCATGGAAAGGGGATAGCCTTCCACGTGTGCGCGTGGTCGTAAGACCGACCTCCACGACATTCAGGTGACAGCAGTGTTACAGTTTTGTTCGCCGCGGATGACGGGGCGTGTCAGGGAGGGGGGAGGCTTTGACGCAGTTGCAGCCCTTTTTTTTTCGGCAGCCGAGTCGACTCCACATTACGAACCAAGGCCTTCTTACCCGAGAGACGGTGAATTGGTGTCAAATTCACCTGGAAGGGTAAGAGACTGACATGTACACCCCAAGTCAATGTATAGGCCATATGGCACTGAGTAAGCCACTACATTCTGAACGGAAGCAGTATGCGTTCCGCA